AATAAATGGGAAAATTAAAAAAAAATAAGTGACTACTTGAGAAGCTTTCAGAGGGGGAAAGATTTCTAAAGCCAGCAGCGGTAGTGTGCCCGCCAAGACCAGAACTGCGGACACTTTGCTTGTATGTAAAACAGCATTTCCGGGCAGGGAAGCCGGTGGGTGGGGGATGAATGAATAATGCAGAGTGCAGGAGCAGATGTCCAACAGGTAGAGGGGGAGGCCGGAGGGAGCTGGAACACGGGGTGGCCACGTGGGTGTCAGGAGAAACTGGGGTGAAGGTACTGCAGCCGGACTTCTCGCAGGTCGGGCTCCGCACCTGCAGAACACGTGATGTGAGCGTGGAGTGGAGGACCCTCTGCACCTGATGGCGTCTCTTGGATGTTACCTAAGACACCAGCCGGTTTTCCAGAGGCTGCTTTTCTTCCAGAGAAACGAGTATCGCACGTTCAGAGAGTTTAAAACTCTATCCGGTGACGCTGGGTACTTGACGTTTTGAAGATTTAAAACATTTATTTGGAAGAGGGAGGGAGAGCGAGCGAGCTTCTCTCTGTTGGTTCAGTCCCCCAAAACACCCAGGCCTGGGCCAGGCTGACGTCAGGAGCCAGGAATTCCTTCTGGGTCTCCGTGTGGGTGGCAGGGACCCCAGGCCTTGGGCCATCACGGCTGCCACCTGGCCCCTCAACAGGAAGCGGAGTGGAGGCTGGGCTGGGTCTGGAACCCAGGCACCCCGCTATGGGATGCCTGTGTCCCAAGCAGCATCTTGACCACCAGGCCTCACGGCCGCCCCGTCTTAGTGGGCTCAGGTCTGCAGCACACCAAGCGTTGCGTCTTCAGCGGCCAGCTGTGTGAGTGGACGGGAGCAGGAGATGGACTGGTCAGGGAGGGTATTTGAGCGCTCTTCCTCCTCACCAGCAGCGAATGTTTACAGAGCTGTCTCCTGCTTTCTCTTCCACCAGGGAGGGAGGCTCCTGTGGGTGACAGGCCGCGTGCCCCTCGCTGGAGGTCACTGCTCCCTTACATGGAGCCGCCATTTTGGAAGATGGCGCCTGCAGTGTGGTGCTGCCTCTCCAGCCACTCCAGCGCGTGCTCCCGCGGGCTCAGTTCTTGTTCTCATTTGCACAGGAGTACGGGCGGGTGTCCAGGCTCTTGAGGACACAGTGTGCACTCATTTGGGAGCTTTCTTTCTTTAAAGATTTATTTATTTGAGAGGCAGAGTTACAAAGAGAGGGGGAGAGAGGTCTTCCATCTGCTGCTTCACTCCCCCAGTGGCTGCAATGGCTGGGGCTGGGCCAGGCCGAAGCCAGGAGCCAGGGGCTTCCCCGAGGGGTGCAGGGCCCAAGCGACTGGGTCGTCTTCGCTGCTTTCCCAGGGATCCAGCAGGGAGCTGGGTCGGAAGTGGGACTTCCTTCCGCCATAACCATCTTGTAACTCAAACTGCCAGAGCCAAGCAAGGACACCTTCCCTGGCGCTGAGCGTAGAAGCCAGAGTTCACAGTCAGTCCCCCGGGCTCGTGGAAGCTCCAGCTGCCGAGTCATCCCGTTTCAGGCCACCCTCCATTCTCTGGAAGCCCTTGGCTGACTGGCCCCGAAGCACGGTGGTCTGAACCTGCCTGGTGGCCAAGGTTGGCACCCAGCACCAGACAGGCTGTGACGGTGGGCGGGCTCCAGCAGGGGGCTGGTGACGGGGCCCCGGGGAAGGCAGAGGGCAGGGAGGCGGGGCTGCCAGCGGCACACCTGACCACGAGCAGCCCAGTGCCCAGCCCCCAGCACATCGCACTCTGGATTAGGAATCAAGGATGCTCCAGGTCCAAGCAACCCTTAATATCCGGATTCTCTTCCCTGGGCCGTGCACAGCATCAGGTTCTCTGTGCACTGGGAAATGGCCAGCAGTTTACCACGCGTTTTCTTGATAATGTTTATAAACTGTGCAGTATCATTCCTGAGTGCCTTTGTGTTGGGCTTTTACCCTAAAAATGGACAAAATTCTGGGAGTCAGAGGGTATTTGTTGTTAAGTCCTAGACCCTATAACCTTTTTATTTTAAAAGGTGATTTGAGGCCGGCGCCACGGCTCACTAGGCTAATCCTCCGCCTAGCGGCGCCGGCACACTGGGTTCTAGTCCCGGTCGGGGCGCCGGATTCTGTCCCGGTTGCCCCTCTTCCAGGCCAGCTCTCTGCTATGGCCCGGGAAGTGCAGTGGAGGATGGCCCAGGTGCTTGGGCCCTGCACCCCATGGGAGACCAGGAGAAGCACCTGGCTCCTGGCTCCTGCCATCGGATCGGTGTGGTGCGCCGGCCGCAGCGCGCCGGCCGCGGTGGCCATTGGAGGGTGAACCAACGGCAAAGGAAGACCTTTCTCTCTGTCTCTCTCTCTCACTGTCCACTCTGCCTGTCAAAAAAAAAAAAAAAAAAAAAAAAAGGTGATTTGAGATGGAGAGAGAGAGAGAGGGAGAGAGAGAGAGAGAGCGAGCCGGCATCTGCTGGTTCACTCCCCAGTGCCTGCAACAGTTGGGACGGGGCCAGGCTGGAGCCAGGAACCCAGGACTCCACCCGGGTCTCCCATGCGGGTGGCAGGGACCCAGGACTCCACCCGGGCCCCCCCACGTGGGTGGCAGGGACCCAGGACTCCACCTGGGCCCCCCCACGTGGGTGGCAGGGACCCCAGGACTTGCACCACCACCTGCTGCCTCCCAGGGAGTGCATTAGCAGGGAGCTGATGGGGACTCAAATCCAGGCACTGCAACATGGGAATGTGGGTGTCCCCACTGGGGGTCTTACCACTAGGTCAAACGCCCACCCAGCATAACAGTTTGTATTGGCAAAATTATAATTAATGTAGGAGAATTGTATTGAAGCCCCCTCTGAGCTGCTGCTGGATGGGAAAGGGCTTTTATTGCAAAGCAGTGTTGGTCCAGGCGAGAGTTTACGTCTGGTTACAGTGTAATCTGGTTTAAGCCGTGGTCTGGGCTATGGAGACTTGACATTAGTAACATGAATACTTATTAGGGCACTAAAGCCTGGGGGTGGTGGCTTGATTCCTGTTTTATGTTTGTTTCTGACCAGAGTCAGGGGAACACATAAAGCATTTTTTGTCTGGAAGTGACAACATTTGATTTTTCTCGTCTTTGTTGCTGTTGGAAGCACATATGCTTCAGGAGAGTCAACCTTAGTTTATGGAAGCATGGTTTGTAGCATAATAGTCGAGTATAGAATAAAAGTGGATGCGTTACCACGTTGAGTGTATTGGAATAATTTCACAACATAAAGATGAACCCTGGCATGCTTTCTTTTTTTCTTGAAAAAGGTTAACTTATTTGTTTGAAAGTTCAGTGTACAGAGAGACAGAGAGAGACAGAGAGAGGTCTTCCATCTGCTGGTTCACTCCCCAGAGGACCACAATGGCTGAGCCAGGAGCTCCATCCGGGTCTCCCACACGGGTGCAGGGCCGCAGTCCTTGGGCCATCTTCTGCTTTCCCAGGCACATTGCAGGGAGCTGCTCTGGGGACTGGACCTGGTGCCCATGTGGGACGCCCGCGTCACAGGTGGCGGCTCCACCCGCTGCGCCACAGTGCCGGCACCAGAAACACTGTCCCAGGTGGGGTTCTGTGCCGAGCGCCACTGTCGCTGGGGAAATGAGAGTGGTCAGATTCAGGACGCGGTGCGGTCTGCTCAGAGCCACGTGGTCCCTTGTCCTGGAGGGGAGTGGGCTGGGGTGGAGGAGAGACACGAGCCGCCCTTCAGAGCGTGGTGCCAGGTTCTGGGCTCAATGCTGTCTGTCCTGTCTCGGCGACTGGCTGCACACTGGCTCCTGCAGGATGGAAATTATTATCTCCTAGCACAGACAGTCCAGGAGGGTGGTTCATAGCACTTGGAAAATGTCCTCCAGGATCCAGATTCTTTCCCTGCCCTGCCCCCCAGGGGTGTTGACAGCCCTGACCTCATGGTCACAAGAGGGCTGCAGTGTTCCGGGCATCTTTCCAGAAGTCTCCTGGCAGACTTCTTTCTTTCAATACTTATTATTTTTTTTAAGATTTAGCCATTTTTAACATCCTATTCACTTTGTGGGTGAATATTATATGCATGCGCATACATACTGTTTGTTCTTGAAGGTGCCTTCCCCAGGCATGGGCAGGTGTTCCTCTTTCTCTGTGTGGATAGCGGCGCGTCTGTAGTGAGACTAAGGTTTGTGAGAGCTAAGGAGAGACGTGGAGGGGGCGGGGACCGGCCACCCCCACGGGGCTCCCTGTCTCAGGCTCCACCTCTGTCACTGTGTACAGGTGAGGTCTAGGGCACAGCAAGACGCCAGGAACGTCTCCCCTTCCACAGCCTCACAAGCTGGCGTCCTGGCGTAAGCTCAAAGTAGGGAACGCGCGATGAGAACAATCTAGAAGCCCAGTGAGGCCATCTTCCTGAACACAGAAACCCGGACCACTGGTGTGGCTGCGGTTGGTCGTTTGGCAGGGTGGAGCTCATGGCCCACCCCGGGGCGCTCTGCTCCCAGGCCTGTCCCCCGGCGTCACGGCTCCCTCCGGGCTCCGGGGCTCAGGGCCATGGGAGGGGGCCTCAGCTCAGCGTGGGACGGGCGGGCTTTCTCTGCAGTGCAGACGGAGGCTCTCCCAGGGGTTCGTGGAAAGTGTGTGCACTGGCAACCGTGCAGGGGCATCCCACGTTCGTGGCGCCAACACAGACGGATTTCTGATTCTCTGTTCCACGGGCGAATGACGGCCCCTCACGGGTCTAACTTGGGGAAGGGTCTCTCCTTCTGTCTCAAGCGACTCCCCCCGGCCGGCAGGTCCACGGCCCAGGCCGCTCCCTGGCTCCCCCACTGCTTTGGCCGTGACTTTGGAAGGTGGCCTTGGCCGAGCCCTGCCACTCACCCCGACAGCGAGGGGAGGTTTCCAGGGCCAGCCCCGCGGGTGGGAGGATCCGGCTCTGCCTCTGCCGGTGACTCCATCCTAGTGTCCTGCTTGCTGGTCCAGGGTGGGGTCCAGTTCTTCTCCTGGTTGCTGTAGGCTGGGAGGTAAATGAATACTGTGTTACTTTCCACCTCCTAGCCCCCTTCCATGTCCCAGAGTTTAGTGACCAGAACAAGAAAGCCACGCTGAACGGAACTCAACACTTCGGAAAAATGTGCCATACAATCCGTGTTACTGCTTCCTAGCCTGCCGTCAACATTTGTGTTTTTTCTTTCCGGAAAAAGAAACAAAAATTGTGAGATACTTCGAACGTAGAGAAAATGAACACAACTATAAGCCATCCTTGATGTGTCCGTGTTTTCACACCTCGGCCTCAGATTGCTTTTCTTCCAGAGAAATAAGGCATCAACACCCCTCCCTCCCTCCCTCCCCCCCCCTCCCCCCTCCTCCCTCTCTCCTCCCCCCCCCCTTTCTCCAGAAGTAAGCAGTGTCCTGAAGATGGCTTGACTTGGACCCTAGAATGGTTTTGCACTCTATGCACATGTATATGTACACAGAGTGTGCAGTATTTTAAAATATTTTATAAGTAGCATTTTACCTACCCCTTTTTTTTTTGACAGAGTTAGACAGTGAGAGAGAGAGAGAATGGTCTTCCTTCCATTGGTTCACCCCCAAAATGGCCACTACAGCTGGCGCACTGCGCTGATCCGATGGCAGGAGCCAGGTGCTTCTCCTGATCTCCCATGGGGTGCAGGGCCCAAGCACTTGGGCCATCCTCCACTGCACTCCCTGGCCACAGCAGAGAGCTGGCCTGGAAGAGGGGCAACCGGGACAGAATCCGGCGCCCTGACCGGGACTAGAACCCGGTGTGCCAGCGCCGCAAGGTGGAGGATTAGTCTAGTGAGCTGTGGCGCCGGCCTTACCTACCCTTTTATAAATAGCTTTCTGGCTGATGTTGATGTGGTTGAAACATTTAAGAATTTGTTTTTTTGAAAGGCAGAGAGAGCGAGAGAGGTCTTCCCTCTGCTGGTGCATTCCCTAAATGCCCACAGCAGCCGGGGCTGGCTGAGCCTGGAGCCTGGGGTTTCATCCTGGTTTCCCTTGGGGGTGCCAGGAACCCAAGTGCTGGACCTTCACATGGCTGCCTCCCAGGGTCTGCATGAGCAGGAGGCTGGGGTCAGAGATCAGAGCTGGGACTCAGACCCAGGCTCTGATATGGGACACGGGCATGTTAACTGGGGTCTTACCCAGTAGGCCACACGGCCACCCCCTTTGTCCTTTCTGGTAAATTGTTCCTCGCCTACAGGCGATAACCCTTTCCACCTGCGACAGTTCCCCTGCCCTGAAACTCGATTCTGCTGTTGACTACAGGTTTCTGTGCAGTTATGCTGCTGTTACTGTTGGCAGCTTTCAAATATCACCACCATTCTTTTTTTAATGATTTATTTTATTTATTTGAAAGACAGAGTTACAGAGAGGTAGAGACACACAGAGAGAGGTCTTCCATCTGCTGGTTCACTCCCCAGATGGCTGCAACAGCCGGAGCTGCGCCGATCTGAAGCCAGGAGCCAGGACCCTCCTCTGGGTCTCCCACACAGGTGCAGGGCCCCAAGCACTGAGCCATCTTCCACTGCTTTCCCAGGCCACAGCAGAGAGCTGGATCGGAAGTGGAGCAGCCAGGACTCGAACTGGCGCCCATATGAGATGCCAGCACTTCAGGCCAGAGCGTTAACCCAATGCGCCACCATGCTGGCCCCACCACCCTTCTTTCACTTGTCATTTTTCTACATTTTCATATTTGAGTCTCTTGTGGACAACACAGAACTCAGTTTTCAAAATGCAATCTGCAAGTCTCTGTGTGTGTTATCGGAGAGGCATAGTTTCTTTATATTTATTATGCTATCCTTATACTGTATTTCATTAAGTTGCTGCCAATTTTAAGAGGGAGCATCATGTTAGGCCTGAGAAAGGAAGAAAACCTTGCAATTCAACAGTGAAATGATGCTCATTTTGGAATGACTTAAAGAAATCATTTAGAGTTAATAAAAACTATTTTTAAAGTTTATTTTTATTTATTGAAAGTCAGAGTTACAGAGAGAGAGAGAGCTTCCATCGGCTAGTTCATTCTCCAAATAGCTGGAATGGCCAGGGCTGGGCCAGGCAGAAGCCAGGCGCCTGCAACTTCATCTGGTCTCCCACGTGGTGCAGGGACCCAAGCACTTGGGCCATCTTCTGCTGCTATCCCAGGCCACTAGCAGGGAGCTGGATCGGAAGAGGAGCAGCGGGACTGTGCCCATAGGGGATGCTGTCATCTGAGGTGGAGGCTTTACCCGCTAAGCCACAATGCCAGCTCCACGTAAGTCATTTAATCTGCGGCCCACCCTGGGAGATCATGTTATTTACCTCTTAGACATGCGATTAGCCTAGTGAGCCAGCCGCTGCTTTCTCTTTGACACAGCTTTTCTGTTTATGCCACCTTCTTGCCTGCCTTTTACTACGCTGGTTTTCTTTAGTCTCTTGCTGCGCACTTTAACTTTACTCTTCCTCAGTGCGTATTATGTTTCTTGCATCCGAACCTGACTCAGCAACATCGACTCAGTCCCTCTACTATCCGAACATGACTCAGCAGCGCTCACTCAGTCCCTCTACTATCCGAACCTGACTCAGCAACATCGACTGGGTCCCTCTACCACCTGAACCTGACTCAGCAACATCGACTCGATCCCTCTACCACCTGAACCTGACTCAGCAGCGCTGCCTGGGTCCCTCTACCACCTGAACATGACTCAGCAGCACTGCCTGGGTCCCTCTCCCACCTGAACCTGACTCAGCAACATCAACTCGGTCCCTCTACCACCTGAACCTGACTCAGCAGTGCCGACTGGGTCCCTCTACCACCTGAACCTGACTCAGCAGCGCCGACTGGGTCCCTCCACCACCTGAACCTGACTCAGCAACATCGACTCGGACCCTCTACCACCTGAACCTGACTCAGCAGCGCCGACTGGGTCCCTCCACCTCCTGAACCTGACTCAGCAGCGCCGACTGGGTCCCTCTACCACCTGAACATGACTCAGCAGCGCCGACTGGGTCCCTCCACCACCTGAACCTGACTCAGCAACATCGACTCGGACCCTCTACCACCTGAACCTGACTCAGCAGTGCCGATTGGGTCCCTCTACCACCTGAACATGACTCAGCAGCGCCGACTGGGTCCCTCTACCACCTGAACCTGACTCAGCAGCGCTGACTGGGTCCCTCCACCCCCTGAACCTGACTCAGCAGTGCCGACTGGGTCCCTCTACCACCTGAACCTGACTCAGCAGCGCCGACTGGGTCCCTCCACCTCCTGAACCTGACTCAGCAGCACCGACTGGGTCCCTCTACCACCTGAACCTGACTCAGCAGTGCCGACTGGGTCCCTCCACCTCCTGAACCTGACTCAGCAGCGCCGACTGGGTCCCTCCACCACCTGAACCTGACTCAGCAGCGCCGACTGGGTCCCTCCACCACCTGAACCTGACTCAGCAGCGCCGACTGGGTCCCTCTACCACCTGAACATGACTCAGCAGCGCCGACTGGGTCCCTCTACCACCTGAACATGACTCAGCCATATCGACTGGGTCCCTCTACCACCTGAACCTGACTCAGCAGTGCCGACTGGGTCCCTCTACCACCTGAACCTGACTCAGCAGCGCCGACTGGGTCCCTCCGTGGGCCTCTGATGCCCTTGACTGTGCTCCCTCCTCACCACTCTTGCTTTCTGCTGTTATAGTTCCTGTTCACTTTTACTCTGTAGGCTCTGTACTCACACTGTACATATGCAAGTTACACAAGAACTGAAGATTGAGGCCCCCCGCATTCTGGTCTCCTGAAGCCTTGGGCTCCGGCTGTGACACGTGGGCTCTGAAGCCTGGCTGCACTCCGAGGCCTTCTCCTCCAGCTGGCTGGCTGCTCAGGTGTGAGGCCAGCACGCAGGAACAGCTCAGACCTGCAGTGTCTCTTCTTGGGGTCCCAGCCTTTGGCGGCGGGAGGCACTCGGGGGGCGGGCTCCGGCTCCCACTGCCAGGGTAGCTGCTGAGTGGGTGGGCCCTGCCCTACCCTTCCCTGGGTGAGGGCCAGACGAGGAGAGGAGGGGGTGAGGGAAGAGCAGAGGAGGTGGGCACTGCACAGACAGCGGCGAGGACACCGTTCTGGATGCCTGTGGGCTGCCTGTGTCTCTCTGGTAAAAGGGCGTGACATTTGCTCCTGGGGCCAGCTTGACGCTGGCTCTGCTGTGGACCACCCCGCGCCTCCTGGCACAGAAGCACTCGTTCTTTGGCCTGGTGCTGTGCGGGGCTGGGCAGCTCGGGGGCTGGCAGGCTGGTCGGCCTGGGACTTCTCAGCGGGCCATGGGGCCTCTGCTCCACCTGAGCCTTCATCCCCACCACAGGGGGCAGCCCGGTGTCTTCCGTCACTCTGCCTTCTGCCTCTGCAGGGGGCTTGTTTGTTGATGGCCTTGGCTCAGAGTAGCTCTGTGTCCAAGCCCAGGAGACTGCATTCTTGTATTTTTTTAAAAAGATTTCTTTGAAAGGCAGAGTGAGAGCGAGAGCGAGAGAGATAGCATCCATTTGCTGGTTCACTCCCCAAAACGCTGCAACAGTTAGGGCTGAGCCAGGAGCTCCATCTGTGTCTTCGATATGGGAGGCAGGCACACAAATGATTGATCTCTCGCCTGCTGCCCCCCGCCCCCAGGATGCATTAGGAGGGAGCTGGACTGGAGGTGGGGTAGCTGGGACTGCCGCTGACACTCTGATATGAAACATGGGTGTTCCAAGGGGGGTTGAGCCAGTGGCCTGAAACATTGGCCCGCGGAAGATTGCTCTGTTAGTGAGAGGAGAGTCACGTGCAGCCTGTGTCATCGAGGAAGTGTGAGCTGCTGTTGTCAGCTGTCGTTACAGAATGCACGCTTTTCAGTGTCCCTGCTGGAGGGTCATGGGCGTCTGTGACATCACGCGGATCAGACACCCACAGGGATGCGGATCCCAGTGTCCCCTCTCACAAGAGAAGCCACTCAGAGGCTCCGGAAGTGAAGGTGAGCTGGGGAGCAGCATCCGCATCCCTGTGCTTGAAGGGCATACAGGAGAGAGAGAGAGAGAGAGAACGGCACCGATCTCACGCAAGCGCTGGACAGATGTGTTCTGTGACAAAGCTGGTGCAGCCAGGCACCT